CATCTTTTCTATCTCTCTCTCCCTCAACACGGCGTAATAATATTTTTTACCATGCTTACTTTTTCCCACTGGTCAAAAATCAACGTCGCAATAATAATAAATTCTTCAATGGGTCTTTTGCTATTCTTCTTCCATCGCTGTATGCGTCGTTTTCCGCAGTGCATAACTCGTAATATGTATATGTAATAAATAAACCAAACGATAAATATACAATTAAAATCGTTGCCATAATTAAAACAATGGCTTCTTCGACTTTGGATTGCCATTTCTGTGTGGAGTTTCGACTCGATTTTTCTGACCTCAACTGCCGTTTTTCTCTATAAATAACAATAACACATTTTGAAATCGAGGAATGAACAAAACTAAATGGAAAAAAATTGACGATGATTCACCGGATGCGAAACGGTAGTTTCTACTGTCAATTATTTATTATTATAAGCAATACACTTTGTTAATGTCAGTCGAAAGTAAATCGGTTTCGAAAAAATATGAATAATTAAGCAGTGAACTTTTACATTTTACACTCATGGATATTAAACACCATATTAGATATATGCGCGGGAAAAATTAACGAAAAAACAACACACACACACACAATTTATTAATTGTATATGCTCGACCATTTTACATTCGAATTACTTTCAAATGGTTTTCTTTTTCTAGACAGTTGAATGATTTTTAAATATCGCGCTTTACTATTAATTTATCAGAAGATCTTTCATTTATTTCATCTCGTTTCAAAAAAAGAAGAAAATATGACTTCATAATTCCGGAAATGGATTGTTATGAATTTTGCACAGTTTTCGAAATAGGTCACTAAACTCACGGTAATGACTATCGAGCGAAAGAAAAAAATTGTAAAAATTTTTGGAAAAAAAAATAAAATAAAAATTTAACCAAATTTAACTCCTTCAGCAAACAACATGATTTATCAAATTGGGACAAGTTTTCTGCAGAAAAGCAAAAGTTTGAAATCACGCATAAAGTTTTGCATCGTGCCCATAAAAAAATCAACTTCTACGCTTTGTATATACAAATATGCAGAGAAGAATGAACAAATGATATCATATGTGGAAGGAATCGTGTTCAGAATAATTTTCATAGTTAATAATAAAATATGTTTGTTGAATTTATGTATCATACCTATTTTCCTCGCGTTGCCATAGATAAAAAAGAATATAATAATAAAAAAAAAATTATAATGGAAATCCGTTGTACTCAGGTCATGATTATTTATGTTTCTTTTATTTCACTATTGTTGTCACTCGACAAAAAAAAATCGAAATAATGGAACCTAATTAGCCAACTTGAGTGTGTTTATATATTTTTTTATTTCAATTTATATTATTTCAGCGAGAAAATGTGGAAAAAGGTAAATTGGTTCGGTATATTTGAATTAGACTAAATGGAAGAGAGTGTCAGTGAGATTCGTGTTAGTTTTGTTCGAATTGCGCTGATGGCATTTCAGTTCATTAAAGGAAGGTGAGAAAGAGGGAAAGAAATGAAGAAAAGGCGAGTTAGAGTGCGCATTTTGATTATTATCACGTCGAGATTACACCTATGCCAAAAGAATATTTCCATATATAAAATGACTTTAAGCCACTATTTAATTTAGTTATTAATGTATTTGAGTCAATGAAACAATTGCACGCATTTCAATATATAGCGCATATATTATTTGTGCTCTCATTTTTTTTTTAATTTCGTTTGAATTTCCCACATAAGATGGGTGCCGCTTCGGGGAAATAAATTTTATGTTCATTTTCCTGATTGAGGTGGACTTTTCACGCACCGTACATTTTTAATATCGCAATATATAAAAAAGAAAAAAATCAAAATTACACATTCTTTATTAGCGCATATGACGTGTTCAGTACGTTCAATTTATTGAATTAAACTGGAGAAAAGTCACCACATGATAAATGGAGCAGCCAATAGAATTCAGACACGCATCTCTCAAAAACATAAATTTCGTCGAAGGAACCTGTTCGAAAGACTCTCGCTGTAATCGAAACAATGTATTGAAAAATTCCGTTGTTTGTCAAAATGTACCCGTAAAGTTTTGACACATTTTTCGAATGCAATTTATTTTCGTATTAACGATAAATACCATAACGAACATAATAACTCCACTGTTCATCGAGTCAATAACACAAAAATACGTTTTAAAAAAGTTTAATTTGATGCACGTACTTACTTTCAAAACGAACTTCAACCGAACTGTTTAACATTCAATCAGCAATATGACTGTATTTACATGCAAGAAATTATTCCGCCCGAAGGCAGCCGATGGAAAGAGCTTCATTTCAATCAACAACAAGAATTTGAGAGAGTGTATGTATCTGATCACATTTTAAGGATATAATTTGTCAATATTTTTCATGAAAATGAATGAAAGAATCGTGGAATGAGACGCGAAAGTGTAGGCAGGAAGAAAAAAATTCCAAATTGCCATTATTTTATGTTCAATTATTCAAAAAAAAAAAAAATATTGCGAGCGCAAGGACCACGTATATTTCGGTTTCATGCTTTATTTATTACCATGAAACGTTGTCGGAATATTGATCTCAGTCGTATCGAAAGAGATGGGAAAAAATGAGAAAATGCGTTGACACGAAAGTAAATGTTGTGCTTTGAGGTGAAATTAATTTCGAGATGAGCGCGATTCTCTTAAGGCTTAGCTGTTTATTGCCATGGGGTGAAATTGACGAACGCAACAACGAATGGGATTACATGCGACAAGGGAGAGACGATCCAGCATTATCGAATGATAAAATGAATTGATTTGATTTTTATTCCATGTTAGATGTGTTCTTGTCATCGACATCGTCATCGCCATGAAGTTTTAATGGACTGAAATTTTGTAACGAAAAACATGCTAAATTCGTAAAATGATGTTTATCTTCGATAACAATTGAGTTTTTCTTTGGCACATGATGTTCGTGCAAATCAATATATTTCAAGCAAAGAGCATGGCATTTCGTGCATCCAAATTGATTTTCGCCGAAGTTACCTTTGAAGAAAAAAATCGAACAAAATTCCGAATTCTCTAGTAGAGAATCTCTATCAAAACCTGCAAACAAAATGTGACTTCTTCACATTGTTAGCTGCATTAGTAATGGAGACAAAATAAGATTAACCCTAAAAAGAAAAACATTTGTAACTAAAACCAAAAGTGTAAAACAAAAATTAGCAAGCTCTTTCCATCCATGATACATTTTTTTTATGCATTTCAAATGGTTAGTACAACGATGAACATCACAGTTCCATACACATTTTACGATGCCAATATGCTTGACGCGTGTACTCTATTGTATAAGTGCATGGTGCTTATTTTAGTTATTCCCTTCGTTTGATGACATTTCGTTAAAGGTTTGTTTGTGCGATGACACTATGATGTGTATGTGAGGATGCGATGTGTAAAAAAGTTTGTGGTAAAAACTTTAACTAATAAAAAAAAAGAAGTGACTGAAGCAAAGGAAAGGACGATTTTTATCCTGAGCACACCAGAAAGATATTGTGAAAATAAGAAGTATCGGTAATAATCATAAATAGATCCGGGTGCCGAAGAACACGATTTCCACATAAATCCGGAAATTGTGAATGCCAAATTTTGTGTTTATATCCATATGAACTTGTTGCTTTTTGTGTGGTGAGCAAGAGTTTCGAGTAAAAATTGATTTGCTTTTGAGACCCTAAACCGTAATCACCTCTAGCAAATTACCTCATATAAGATGTTATAGTTACTTAGCTCCGATATACATAAGTACGGAAGAAATGCCAAACAATGTCGCAGCCGGTGTTGTTGTTGTTGATGATGTCGCTGTTGCTGCTGATGATGTAAAAAAAAAGAACGAGCGACAAACAAAATTATTACGACTTTTTTATTGTCTCTGCCAGAGAGAAAGAGATAAAAGGAACTAAGGCAAAAATGCGGTTGCAACTGAATTACGATATATTCAACGACGAAATGATTATACACCGCAGTATATTTGTGCAATTGAACATATCTTTGACATTTTGTCGTAAAATTTACAGCTCAATTCACGACGCACATGTAAATGACACATTTGATTTTTGTGTGAATGCACCCGCATCCACATCGAATATATTGTCATTGTTTTATTTGTCTTAAATTGAATGAGATGGTTCACAAGGAAACGCACACACCAAATGGATTTTGCCAGTTTTTTTTCGCTCTGACGTCACCGTTGTAAATTGAATTAGAGATGAACCAATACATCCAACGGAACGATACGCACATATTTTTCAATGACACATTATATTGAAAATGCGGTGAAAACGCACCTATGAAACGCTTTCAAACGGTTGATAATGTCAATGCCATTTTCATTTATATTGCGTATAGCAAAATTCCCTTTCCGCCCGAGACACCATGCATGATTCGGTGTTTGAAACCATCAAAACCAAATGCCATTTTCACGACATCGAGTGTGCATATGATATGTGACAGATACGGTAACATTTATTATAATAAACGATTTCTGTAGGCTGTGCGAATAAAATCGGTATTACTTGATGAAATTTCATATTCGGCCCATTCCAAAATAGATACATTGCGGATGTGTATGTAAGTGGAACCGCAGGTGAAATATAAATCTGTTTCTATCCAATCTAATAACCAATTTTCAACAGCTATGTGTATTATTTATATACAACCCCATTCCATTGCGCACTCTACGAAATTTGAGGTAATTTGTGAACGTTTCATTGTGTTTACATCATTTGTAAACCACAACGAATTGACGGAACCATTATTTATTCAATATTCAATTAAAAGTGTGATTTAAACATTTCTGTTTGGTGTAATTTAAAACATAAATTACACATTAAATGCATAGTTTTTTTTATTAGCATCCTTTAAGACAGATTATACATACATTCTGCAACATTTAAACAAGATAAACTCGATGGCTTGTGTGTTGTTAGTAACAACTTGTTACACAAGAGACCAATTCATTTAAAGTAATGCAACGATGATCGGTAGAGATTCAACAAAGATTTTATTTCATATTACATTAAAACTGTTGAAATGTTTCACATTTCCGAAACTAATTCTATCCATACTTATTAGCTATATTGTTTTTAAATTCGTCATGTCGACGATGAAATGGCTTTCAGATCAACGCAACTGGCATATCGAATATCATCTTCCGTACCAACAGGTTCTTCGCGTTTCATCTCCAATTTCAAACACTTTCGAATGAATGGTGCAAACATTTTTGGATCCATTTCACGTGGATTATTGAAACCGCTTATAGTTGAAACAATTACACTTACACCTATACAGATTAAAGCTCCCAGTAAAGTGTACCTGGTAAAAATTTAATTGAGAATATTTGTCGGTTCATATGACAGAAAATAGAACGTGGTATGAAATTCACTCAATAAGCCTTTTGAAGGAAATGAAAGAATAAAGAATGAAAATTACCAAAGATAAGAGATGTGATAGATAGCAAACTCCGGTTCCACTGGGTCAATAAGTGTTGGTGCATCGGTGCTATTAATCGCCAGCATATTCAATGGGCTTTCATGCATAAAAATATAACCGCATCCTTGAGTATCAACGGGTTTTATTGCATGATAGAGTTCACCACTTGCAATTGCCGCTTGAGCTCGTATGCAAATCCAAGCCATCACACCCAAACTGGTTGCACCGCCAAATACAACAGCTGTTGCACCTATCCATGGCAGCAGAACTCTAAAAAAAATACATAAAATTATCTAGAAACAGACGGAAAACAACAAAAACATGCTCACCCCATTGTGAAGATACCAAGAAGCGGTCCATTCGATATAGCCGAAAGACTTATGGACAGTTGTAAAACTGCTCCTAATTTTTCAACTAAAAATACTAAACACACACAAATACCGCCAAAAATTGCAACAACGAATCGCATCACGTAATGCGTTTGCTTTTTGGTCAATGGTCGTTTCATTTGTGGCTTTACAAAATCTTCTAAGATCACCGCTGACATTGAATTTAAACCAGTTGAAAGAGAAGACAATGCTGCACTAAAAACACCCGACACAAACAGTCCCGGCAAACCAGGGAAGTCAGAAAATAATTTCATCACCAACAATGGTAACAGTTGATCTTTTGCTTTAGCTAAACGAGTTGTGAGTGGGTCGCAATCATGATAAGTGGCGTAAATCAAAAGTCCGCAATACGAACAGGATAAAGCTAAAGCCAGTGTTCCAACAATAAATAGCCAATGTGCTCTGATTTCAGAAAAAAAAAATCAAAGAAAAAAATCACCTAATTGAAGTGAAATTACTCTATAAATGTTTCTCACATTTTAGCATCTCTGAGTGTGGGTAGCGCCAAATATCTCTGAATCATGTTTTGACTAATGGCATTGCTCTTTAACCATTGAGCAAAACCTCCAAATATCACCGAGTATATTGTGTATCTTGTTTTTAAATCAAATGCAAACCTGAAAAATGGAAAAACCAATTGACCATTTTGCTAAAAGGTTACATCGTATAATGATGTAAATAACTCACTCAGGTAATTCAATTCGTCCACTTTCGACGGCTTTTTCCCACACCAAACCAAAACCACCGATGTCAATGGTACCTTTAACCATCACTAGAATTATTGCACCAAACATCATCACTAACCTATTGGTTTCACAAATTTTCAATCAATTTATCAAATCAACAGGCGATTTCAATGTGGATATTCTTACTGTATACAATCTGTCCAGACAACGGCCTTCAATCCACCAACACAAGTGTAAAAAATACAGACGAGACACACTAATGGGGTTATCCAATGGACATTCACACCAGTTACTGTAAAATGAAAATTGAATAAATTAACGGATATTTGGTTTGGTTTTTTTCATTCGCTCAAATTGTTTCCACAAACGTACTCTGGTTAAACGCAAGTGCCGGCACATAAATTACAATTGGAAGCCACATCATTGTTCCAAAGGTAAAAAGTACAGCGCCAAACATACGAACCTACAAGAAAAATTATTGAATCCATTGATTGTTTTTGCACAACAAATGTTATACCAATTAATCTTACACGATTGTCAAATCTCGTTTCCAAGTACTGAAATTTTAAGAAGGCATTATGTATTATAATTTTCAAACAATTTGTCAATTTGCTTAAGTGTCGAACCGTTTAAAGTACCATTATTAAACAACAAATAAAATTGTTACAAAGAAATTTGATCATGCTTACATGATAAGTCGAAGTAAGTTGAAGGTCATGAAATACAGGAAGGTAGATGTATGTCATGGCGATTCCTGTTAAAATGAGACCAAAAATGATGAACATGTACTGGATTCCATAGACGTAGATCTCTGTCGGACTGTGAAAAAAATACAAAAGAAACAGTTAACACTGGCACACATGTTTGCAATTGATTTACTTACATTCCAAGTAATGTAATGCCACTGATATAACTGAAATACAAGAAAAACGATAAGATTCAACGACCATTGGCAGTATTTTGTGGTAAAATTAAAAGGCTTAACGCCTATCATATCGTGTGTACTCAAATTACTCAAAATGTTTTAACTGGACATAATGACAATTCTCTCATCCAATTTATAAGCATACATGGTTTATCCAATTTATAAACTATTTTACATGTTGATGCCTGATAAATGTGTTCCACACATCATCACTGTACACTAAATGTATGAATATCATTCTTTATTGCAATTGCATCGAATCAACACAGTTGAAGAAAAAAAATATGTTTGTTCGAGTCTTTTTTCTTCGATTTGATGATACAAATGCAATTGTTAGAACTTACCTTGCAATCAGCGACATTGTTATTGGTATAACCTTCATTTGTCGACCTCCAACCAAATAGTCGGATTCTTCATCGCATTTTTTTGATGATTTCTTTTCAAAAAATCCAAAATAGATGCCGATCAAAGCACAAATTACTAGCATCACTAGGAATACCAAATAATCGGGCGTGCCGAATTTTTGCATTGATATTTTCACATCATCTAACATGATGCCGTTAGAGCTCGACATTTTTTTTATTTGAATTAATAAAAAACAACAATTCTATAATCACAAAATAAATAAAACTAAAAACACTCGAGGAAAATCTTTTATTTTGGCAAATGTATTAACGTTTTTTACGCTTCATTTGTTGTTATCGATTGAATTGAAAAATGGAAAATATTCACAGCGAAAAGCAATATGTGTCTTTCGCCAACTTTCAACCAAAAATGAATTCTTTGCTGATAAGAAAACTATTTTATGACAAACAGCTCGAACGAGGCCAGCCAGTGTATGTGATGTCGCGACAATGGCGAATTATGATCTGATCGCAAACGAGTGATAAGCTTTTGGCATGCACTACATTTATTTATGCCATTGTTATGAGGCTTAATTGAAAAATTGAAACGATTATGCTATTTATAGTACCGTCACTCACTTACTTAATTCTCTCGCTTTTTTTGTGATTGAACCATAACTGACATGCGTAAGCAATTGTATATTTGTTTCAATTCGTGAACTAAACTGTATTCGAATTGTTTATTTTGGCATTTTATCCATTTAGATATTTTGGCTTGGTTAGGTCATAGTAAGCTTTAAATTTATCAAACAATTTGGCTTTATTGTTTGGGTTTATTCCACTAAACGAAAATGGCTGCGTAACAATTCTTTTTTTAAACAATTCAAAGGCTTGCCAAAGTGTAGCAGTTTTATTCCAAGCCATTTTATCCAATAAAAAGAAATGATTACGATTTGCAATTGGAACGAGTAATTTATTGTTTTAAAACTGAATTGATTTCTCAACGATAATCAAATTTATTGTTCTTAACCATAACGAAAGGAAGTCGTACTTAACTCGCGACATATGAGAAATTGAGTAGATATGTATGCAAAAATGAAAGCCAGTAAACACAGTAAACACTTGATGGAACTTATAATTTTAGTTTTTAATCAAAGTTGAAATGTATAGCGAACTTGAAAATTGTTCACTCAATTTTCGAAACTTTCAGGAGAGTACACTTTTTTAGGAATACTTCAAATATATCTGTATCTAGGGGATAACCATGAATTGCAGATCGAATAATTTATAATAATAAACGCTATTTCTCTCTATTTTTCACTAATTCTGCTATTTATTGCTATTTTCGCTATTTTCTTCTTCTAAATTTCCCTATTTTTTTTGCTAATGTGCTAATTCTAATTCGCATGGATATCCCCTAGATCTATATACGCTTTTAAGCTGAGTCCATGCGGTGCTATAACACATACAACAGTACAGTTCCCAATTGTCTCCGTGACTTTGGACTTCTATTTTAGTATATTAATTATGTGATATTTATTAAAATAGCTGCTATTTATGAAATATCTGAGACTTATATCTATTCAGTTTTAACCGATTTGATTGAAGAAAATTGAAAAATTGACGATAAAACGATCCTATTTTACTGAACATCAAAATACTATGTTCTGATTGAAAGCGATGAAAAATAATTCTATTTCGAATTTTCATTAAATGTCAATAAATCATGAATTGGTTGTTCGGCCGGGCCTCGGGCCGAGCATTTACGACCCCTGCTCAGTACATGTTGTTCATAAAAAAATAATACGTTGGTATAAATTATTTATAAAAAATGTATTGCAAAATATAAAAAGTGTGTGAAATCACTGAATAATTTAACATGTAAATAAGAATAAAAATTAATATTAATAAAATTCTGCCAGATGTACAAGGTTTCAAAGACAAAACAAAATGAATGATAATAATTTATTTTATAATGCTTTTGCCTTTGAATGAAAATGATGTTTGAAAATATGTATATAAACCGAAAATATTTGATGACAATTATCAGTAATCTATCATCGTTCTTTGACGTAGTTGCTTCCATTTGAATTTGAAAAAATGTTTGGTCGAAAGTTGTTTGTAGCATTTCTTATTGCAATCATTGTTTCTGAGGTAAATTGTTCATTATTATCTTTAGTTGAGGCTTGTTTTGTTTCATTTTTAATTGTTATTATATTACAGCTTTTAGTTGGAAGCGTTCATGGTGATGACAGCTCCAAAGATTCTAAAAATGCTCAGCCGAAAAAGTCAGTTGTGAAAAAGGTTGCCAACGCATATAAAACCACGAAGAAAAACTTTTTCACCTTGCCCGGCAAGGGAAAGGTATGGCCAAAACCATGGATTTACGAATAATTCTTAGCTGATGCATTGGATACTAAACTATATTCTCATCAGCGCTAAAAACTTCCTTGTTAGAAGAACAATATTATGATTTTGTTTTTGTGGCGAAGAAAATTTTAAAAGGTGTCGTTATCTAAATAAAAACAGTTTAAAAAATATAATCAATGATCAAATCTTCACTTATTTATATTGTCGGTAGAAAAACTTTGAAAGTTTTTAAATTGAAATGAATCGGTTGAATATTCCATTTCAATTTCATACTTTACTTAAATATCAATAAACTCTTCATATGTTGAATATGGCGTGATACAGGAACGTGGCAATTTATTGGAATAAATTTCTGTACATTACGAAAAATACACGAACTAAAACGATTACGTCTTGGTCCAATTTCCAGAATACACTTGAACCGAAAAAATGTCAAATTCTTGTTCTCTCCATAGGTACTGTGGGTGTGGAACTTGGATTTCTCAATCATAAATCATATCAAATTGACTCTTAAAACATATTCGAATAAGTCTGTTTTAATTTGTGAAATATCTGCCAAAATTTACAGTGTATTTTCAAAAGAATTGATTTCTTAACGATGACCAAATTCATTGTTCTTAACTATTAACAGAGGAAGTCTTAACCAGAGTTATAAGAAATTGAATGTATATACGAAGAAAAAAACGTACTAAACACTTTATGCAAACCCACAATTTCAACATCTTAATCAAATTCGAAATGTTTTGCGAATTTGAAAATTATTCTCGCACCAACAAATCTCACTAATCGAAATAAGAGTGTGAGAGCCCGCCCACGATTCTCAGTTTCACGGGTTTTGCGTTTCATCGTCAATATATATTGACTTATTCTTTGACAGTAACCAATCGATTTCTTAAGACGAACTGTGAAACAACCGATTCTGAGAACAACAGCACGGTCTGGAGAATAATTTTCATTTTGACGCGCTTTCTGACATTGAAATCGTATTATTTAATAATAATAGGCATATGGATGTGACAGAAACAATAAAAAACAATTTTCGATTATATTTTTCGTGGTTTTCGTGATGATATGCTTTGAATTGAAAGATGATATCTATGAACAGGCAAAATGTATACATTTTTCTTTTCAGTTCAATTGAAAAAGAGTCATGCAATGAAAACATCCAACAAATAGTTATGTTTGGGGCACACGAAGTAATTGTACGCTGTTGTGTACACAAACGAAAAATATCCATGTCCCAAGTGAGATTGATATGCAGTTATAGGTATATGTACTCTTTTTAATGTGTATGAAATTGCGAATTGAATGAACTGAGATGCGTTGCTTGCTCAATAATAACAATGGCATTTATTTATTTATTTTTTTCACAGTCTGTTCACCGCGCTGTGTTGTATAATAAAAGGTAATTTGATTGTTTCTCTTTTTGTTCTTCTTCGATGATTTCTTTGCGTTTGCTCGTTCCTTTGTTGTGAGCAATTTTTACCATTTCACACTATATTGAAATTCGAAATGCAACAAGATTTTGGTGCTATACTGGTGGTCTTTTTAAAATCCGAAATTTCTTAAATGCATTCATCTTCAAAAAAACCGCCTTGAATTTCGTTGCAATTTACGTAAATCGATTCGATTGATGAACATTTATCCAAAATTCACACATCGAAAAGGTCAATTCACATTGATACAGTTATTAATGTCACAAAACAATAATTTTCGTATTCATTCAGGATGCGTCACAATTAATGTGATTCCCATTTCATTGTCACTTTCGATAATGTATTGTGTCGCAAGAAACAATTGTGGGCCTAAATGATGTTTGCCATTCGCTTATTATACCGTATAAAACAGGTAATGCTTACAAACAGATGGTTGTAGCTTTCATTCACAAAATCCATCGGAGTTATTCGTTTGATATGTTCTGTGCTCAAGAGTAGCAGAAAAAGAAGAAGTAGAAGGCAACAGCACAATAGTTGCCGAATCATTTATATTTATCCAAAAATGTATATCGTTTTGGAATATAATTTTATTTCCATTTGTGCGCTCTTCATTCACGCATACGAAAATCCAATTCAATTTTATATATGTGCAAACATTTTGATACATTTGAGCCCAGTATTTGAGTCGATGCGACACCGAAAAAAAGAGAACCATATATCATTTTCGTAGTGAATTAGAATTGTATGTGAGGCAATATTTCGAGTGGACACTTTCCGATATGTTTTACCGTTATATGGTTACTATTTGGCAGTATGTGTTTTTTTTTCTTCTCTTTTGTGTGTATTGTTCAGTTGCCGTTAGTTATTGTTTTTGTATTTCATCTCTCAAATAGTTTTTATTTATGTCAAATAAGATAAATGATGGCAATATTCAAAGCCGTGTGTGATGTGAAGTGGTGTTATGAAAGAGAGCGAGAGAAGCTAGGCAAGGGACAATTAATCTTGATCCCTTTTTGTGTATGCTTTTTTTTCCACTGCCATCATCACCGTCACTCAAGTTTTTGGGCTAGTTACCGAAACAGAGTTATCTACTGTCTATATTGTCAGTGTCACCGTAGATCCGAATTTTTAAGTGCCTACTGAGCCAAGCTATTCCGGACCTGTGCCGAATTGTTTTGGCCAAACTGGAATAAAACAATGAACGAACAACTGAAAAAGAAAACTCGACTTTTGTTTATGTTACATACATGGAAATGTATGCGAATACTTAAATGGACTTCACATATGCGCCTATCAAATGCTCATATGTCTTCTTTCGAAACCTAATCTACGGAAATGCGACCCACTACCAACGACTGCTTTCCATCCATTTGTTTTGATATTTTTTTCCCATGTGTTTGACGTCACACATCTAAATCGTTATATGCTAGTCATAAGTCGATAGAAAGTGCGTAAAATACCGTTTCATTCATTGGCTAACAATAACATTAGCAGCACCCTTAACACGAAACTCGCCCGAACATTAATGTATTGGCAAGTGAATTGTAATTCATGCGCCACATTATTAATTATCTCAAACGTGTCCAATGAATTATTCATTAATATTGCGGAAAATATGCTTTGCAATATGCGTCTCAACGGTTATGACAGTCGAAAAAATCCAAACGTTACTTAGATTGCTGTGGCCGTGAAATTTGGCTCGAAACTTTTTGAAATTGAAAATATCCGCTGTGGATAAATTGATTTTCGACAATTAATTTCAACATAAATTTGCATTCATCTTCCGAATGTTCAGAAGCTGAAATTCAGAGCAGATATTGTGTATTCATAGAAAAGAAAATCTTATGTTTTTAATTGAAAAATGCACCGCCTCGTAAACTCATTGAATTGTGTGAAAATGGGTGAATGATCGTTAATCAACGAATTTCATCGAATTTTATTAAAATTCATCCAACTCATACCCGCACAAATGCAAAATGAATAGCGCGTGAATTCGGTTAAATATAGCCTTCGGCGTGTATTACCGCTACAACTACAAAATGAAAGATTGATTTAGATTGAACCGAAGTTTTAGTTTTGTGCCACAAAGAACATTCGATATGCAGATTTCTCACTGTTTTTGGCTATTCCATGTGGTTGTTTTTTTTAGAATACAATGTATTTGCAAATGCAGACAACGACCGCGAGCGCGCACCTAATCATTTACTCATCTTTCCACTTGCATGCTTCAGTTCCGACTAGCAACTGAAAAAAACCGTCAGAAAATGTATCTTGATTGAGAAACTCTATTTAATTCGATTGTGTTTTCACAGTCGTCACCCAATGCCATGCAATTTAATAATGCGCGCATTTGCCGCCGGTTCTACATTGATTGTATCTATCACATCCGTGAACATCGATACACCGTTTCTCTTCAATGAGAATAACAAAACGCGCAAAAATAAATGAAATCTTCATTAGGAGAACATAAACGTGAATTCGTTCACTTGAGCAATTCCCATCAACGAACATCAGAAATTACAATCGAAATGATGCGATTCGAGGTTTCATATGAATACGGTGTGTATGAGTGTGTGCATGATTTTTTTTCTCTTCGGCCTTTCTTCGCGAGGAAAAAACAAAAATCTGAAATGCACAAATTAATTAGAAACACGGGGCCGTATTACCCGCTAAAATACACTTTACCATGGCCAATATAAAAAAAGGCACAAGCAGAAAAGGCGAAGGCAAATTTTTATGTTATTTTAAATCGGTCTTCGAACTTGCATCGCAAGTCAATATAGTCGCTGAACAACAATGTTAAACAACTTTCAATTGAGTTAAGCGAATAAGAGATATTGGATTCATTTTTATTGATTTCTTTTCTTTTCGTTTGATTCCTTGTCAATGGACAATTTCATACTTCCACCTTCGTTATGCATTCCGTTTTTTCTCCCATTTTGATCACTTTATGACCGCACAAAAATGTCAAATCTCGTTGACAATCGATTGAAACGAAATTTTTAATACAGATATAAAATGAATTCCGAATTGATATAATCGAGAAGCGGAGACGTGAGTTCATGGTTTTCGATATTAACAAGCGACTCATCTCATTAGACATCTCTTCAGAATCTCGAATAAAAGAGTAATTAATAAGGTAAGGCACCATATTTTCCAATGACTAATAGTCATTGACTATGTGTTGTCGCTGATTTTTTTTAGTACAGTTCTTGTTTTTTTCGCCAATAACTTAACCGATTAACATCGTCATATCAATAAATAAACGCGTTTAATTACATAATTTGGTTTTGCATCGCTTTCAATAATCTTTGGTAAAATGTGCCTTTTTTCTAATAAATTCCATGGCATTGCATGGGTTTGAATTGGTGATGTTATCGTATTCTTTAGCATATATTGGTCTTTATTTCCAATTACTGGCTGTAACTTCAATTACAAGGCCAATTGATACTGCTCTACCAACACAATGTGGGAGTTAAATATCTTGAATGCACAATGGTTAAGATCATGGTTAAGATGAAAAGAAACTCGGCGAAAATATTGATTGCACGAAATCACCAAACCGAGTTGATATCCCCAGTAAATCAGTTATGCATGCATTAAAAATAATGTAAAATGCTTCTGCATTTTCAACGGTAATAAGTCATACGCGACGAGGATTATCCAGCGCTAACATGAGTGAGACGAGTACCGGCCGAATAACGAAATGAATTGAAAATGAATAGGAACAAAAGCGAATAC